TACCCACTGTCTGAATCATACGTTGACACTTATCCATAAAACCCTAAGAATCATCTAACTCCGTACCGCTAAATGATGGAGGTCGAAGAATCTCAAATCTCTCAAGTCTCCTCTGCTCATCATCTGCCATAACAGGAACTACCGGGGCATGAGAAGCTGCAGTCAGCTGGGCTGGCAGTGCCCCCGGTATCTGAAGTCCCTGTACTACCTAGTATGGAGTACGGGCAACATGGGTAGGAGTACCTCCTCTGGCATGAGAAGTGGCAGGTGCGGCCTAAGCCGAAACCACCTGAGCCAGACCAGTGCAAGCTACCAATATCTGGGCCAAAGTCTCTTGAAGGCCTGGAACCTCAATGGGCACAGCTCATGCCTGAGCTGATCCTGTCGGCTCAACTATAACAGGAATCTGCTCATGAGCTAGAGCAACTGGTGATACTACAAGTGCTGGTCCAACTGTGGTACGAGCTACACCTCGACCCCAGCCTCTACCACGGCCCAAGCCTCTCGTGGCCCTAACTGGTGGCACTAGTGGTTGACCGTCCATTCCGGTAGTATGTGTCCTAACCATATGTGAGAGAATATATTAATAGAAATTTAGTTTCCGAAATCAACAAATTCGCACGACAGATAAATACAGACGTCTCCATACCAATCCGCAAGACTCTACTAAACCTGCTCATGACTCATGAGACCTATGTAACCTAGGCTCTGATACCAACTTGTCACGACCCAAAATCCCAACCTTTATTGATGGCACCTATCTCGATACTAGGCAAGACGATAATCTCAATAAATCACAATTTCTCTTAAGTTTGAAAAATAATACAAAATCCCACAAATACCGATACAAACACTCCCCAAATCCTGGTGTCACTGAGTACATGAGCATCTAATATGGATACAAGTCAAAAGGAAACGATCAATAATAGTCTAAGACCAAATACAGTAAACAATGAGATAGGGAAGGAGAGACAAGGTCTGCGAAACACGATAACTACCTCTAAATCTTCGTATAAGGAATTGAAGATAGTGATGAGCTACACAATTATAGTTCATTTACAATAATTCCAACAGTGAATAGGCATGCTTTCAAATCCAGCAGTTTAAGTCAAATCAATTTATACAGTTCAAGTCCATGTAATCCGGATATAAAATCTTTCAGAGAATTTCAGAACAATGATAATTAGCAAGTAAGTGCAACAACAAATGAAAAGCAAGTATAGCCACTCAAGGCAACAATGACTCCACTCGTCACAACAACTCAACCACTCGGCTCTCAACCATCAGCACTCACACTCAATGGGTACCCGCACTCACTGGGGTTGTACATACTCCGGAGGGGCTCCTACAGCCCAAGCGCCATAATCTGTACGGACAACTCACATACTAAACGGATAACTCACGTGCCATAATATCCTTACCTCACCGACATGCCCTTGACCTTACTCCGTCCTCAACCTCTCTAGTCTCTCGGGCTCTTAGAAATCACAAAGATCAGCCTAAACAAAGATAACATAGTGTATCGATAAAGATCTTGAGAGACAGAGGTATAATACGCAAGAAAAGTCATGACTGAGTACAAGATAGCAATTAGCAAATAATTCAACAAGTACGTGGCCTCCGTGGGTCCTAACAGTACTATGACATAGCCTAAGCATGATTTACAGTCAAATTTCTTCAACACATAGAGAGCATAGAGCTAACAATAAATTATTCAACTATATAGTTTTCACTGGACGGACCAAGTCACAATGCCCTCGGTGCACGCCTACATGCCTGTCACCTAGCATGTGTGTCACCTCCAAAACAATCACATGACACAAAATTCCGGGGTTTCATACCTCTAGCACCAGATTTATAACTAATACTTACCTCAAACAGCGTAATTCTTTATTCTAATATGCCCTTACTACGAGAATCAGTCTCCGAAAGCCTCGAATCTAGTCATAAATAATTCGTTTCAGTCAATAAAATTTATTGGAATTAATTCCATAAGAAAATACTAATTTTCTATAAAAATCCAAAATTTAGCTCAAATATCGCCCATGGGGACCACGACTCAGAACCCAACAAAAGTTACAAAATATGAACGCTCATTCAACCATGAGTCCAACCATATAAATTTTACTCAAATACGACATCAACTCAACCCTCAAATCTCGAATTTAAACCAAGAGGGTTTTCACAATTTTCCAACTTAATTCACCGATTAAATGTTAAAAATAACCATGGATTCGGGTAATTTAACCAATATTGAGTTAAGAAAACTTACCCCGTTATTTACTCTGAATATCTCCCAAACATCGCCTCTTCCCGAGCTCCAATCCATCAAAAATGTCCCATTTTACGAACTTAAACTCTCCGCCCAGACATTTGCTCTACGCGATCGCGAAGCACAATTTTCCACTTCCTAGAAAAGACCCTATGCGATTGCGGACTTTCCCACGCGATCGCGATGCACAACATCACAAACCTACGCGATCGCGGACTAGTCCACGTGATCACGAAACTCAAAAGCGTGATTTCCATTTCTGCCCATTTCCTCTACGCGAACACCACCTTCTTCACGCGTTCGCGAATAACAAATTCACATAGCTACGCGATCGCGTCCCGCTTCACGCGATCGCGAATGACAAAATGCCACTACCTCAAATTAACCGTACGCGATCGCAGATATCCCCACGCGATCACGTAGAACAAAACCCCCACTAACCAACTATGCCTATGCTATCGCAGATGCGTTCACTCTATCACGTAGAAGAAAAACAACATCAGATATCAGAAAATTCCAGCAGCTATTCAAATCCAAATTTTTGATCCTTTAGCCATCCAAAACTCACCCGAACCCTTCGGGACCTCAACCAAATATACCAACCCCCGGTCAAACTTCCCAAAAATTAAATTTTTGACATTTCAAGCCTAATTTTACCACGAACATCTAAATAATTTTCCGGACACGCTCCTATGTCATAAATTACCATACGGAGCTATTGAAATCATCAAAATTTAAATACGAGGTTGTTTACACATATGTCCATATCCGGTCAACTTTTCTAACTTACATTTTTAATTATGAGACTAAGTGTCTCATTTTACTCTGAATTCCTTCCGGACCCGAACCAACTAACCCGGTAAGTTATAAAACAGCTATAGAGCAAAAATTGAGCTGTAAATGGGGAAACGGGATTATAATACCCAAAACGACCGGCCGGGTCGTTACACTATTAAACTTAAGAATGGGAAAGACCATATAGAAATTTTCTTGCTACATTTTCACAAATGTTAGTTAGCTAATGTCTGCATTTTATTTTTAATTAAGCATTTGAAATACAATGAAGGGAAGCATTGCAGTAATTCTCTATAACAATCACAATGGTGTTCTATGAGTTGTCCGGTGCGTAGTTTCCTTTTCTTAAGAAAAGCACAAAGGTATATAGTTTGAAAAGTTTTAATAAGGCTTTTCTTTTTGTGTCACAGAAGTATAGGCTCTACTTGAAAAGGATCAGTTCAGAAGCAACCCAGCAAGCCAACATGGTTACCGCATTAGGTTGAAAAGATTCTGCGTACATGCGAATGGGTTCACTTGACGGGCTTGGTGGTTTTCGAACATTGGCTGGATCCGGAAGGTATGGTCAGGCCAGCTTATCATCATCATATGCATCAGGAGGTATGCTCGGCAGGCTAAATTATCCTGCCGGTGTAAGCCTTCACAGTCTGGCATCATCGCCGCTGCTCCAACCTAATCATGGTCAAAGTTTAAGCAACTCCATAAATTCTTTTACGAAGTTGAATCCAAATGCTCCGCCTGTAAGCCAGAATGCTAGTTTATTCCATGGAATTCCTACATCTTTGGAGCTTGATCAATTGCAGTAGAGTAACCGTGCCATACACATGGGAGAACTGAATCCTTTGGATGAGCACAGACTGCTCACAGCGGGCAGTAGTACATTCACGGACTCTAGATCTGTGGTTGGTAACTCAAACAGCTCGTTGTCCAATGTCTTAAATAATCCTATATTGCTTCAAGTGAACTCCCAACAATCAGCCGTTTGCCTCAAGATAGGGTAAGAGAGAATAGCACTTCAGCCGGCCCTTATTTGCCGAACAACACTGTTGATTTTCCTTCCTCAACCATAGTATCCCTACCTTTTGAAGCTTTAAGAGGAGAAACACAATGCCTGGAAAGTTTAGGGGATGGTGTTCAGATTATGAACCAAGCGTACTGCCAATGGTGGCCAGATCAGAACCAACATTATTCCCAGAACTCAAACCATATTTTTGGCAACATGAGCTCTCAAGTTTCCAGCAATGGTGGTGTGGCGTCTTTACCCCAGAGCATGGACCAAAACAATGAAGTGGTCTACAGAGGGGTGGACGTCTCTTTGATTGGCAGATCAAATGGAGGTTCTTCAGCACTCATACAACATAGTCCCGACTCGAGGACGAGGACAAGGGAAGACTATCTCTTGGAGACAACAAAGCAACAAGTTGGTTTTATTCCTCAGGGATATGGCTCCCTTGATGATCTAATGAGTGCAATGAAACGGGTAAGATAACTTTTTTTGGACTTGTCTTTCTTATTTTTGAAGCTTTCAAAATCTTATTTCTATAGTTCTATTGTTAACTATTCATTGATTCTGAAATCTGAACGACAATCTAGAACACCACATACATATGTTAGTTGCATGTACTATTGATTTTGAAATAAAGATGAACATCATTACTTGACCTCAATCCTCAGTGTCTCAAGTGTGTGGCTGATCAAGCTTTTCTGAAGGAAATGACTCTTAAATTGGTGTCCTTGGTTAGAGTATATAATTCTTTTTATATGAATTGAGAATGATATAAGTTATACCTCGGTAGCCATGTATCCAACTCATGAAATATATCTATGGGTTAAACCTTTTAGATATTGAGCATTACCCATTATAGTTTTAAGTTATGGGTTCATATTTACTATTTACTACAATTTTAATGGATTTTTATACATAAATTAATACCCTGCTTCGGAAGTACTGGGTTCAGATGAATCCGGTACTACTTAGCTGCATCTTGCCCCTGACTCTAGGAATTCTATGTCATGGATGCAAATTAATGTATCCTAAAAGGAATATATGATCCTAATATTTCTTATTTCTCAGCAAAGATCAGATTATCAGTCATTATAACATTAGTACTCTAGCAGGAGGAAACAATGCACTCTTTATTGATATCTCATATTGCATGACCTAAATTAACATATTAAAGGAGCTTATTTGCGTGATGGAGGAGCAACAAGATGGAGCCTTGTTAGAAGGGGGAGAATTTTGATTTGATGCTTATTCTTTTGGGTCAGGTTTATGAGGTTTTGTAACTATCATATTAAGAAGATTTATTTGCTCATTGAGGAGTCTAATAATATGTCTACAAGTACTACCACTACACCCCTGCCTTCTTTTCCATTGTTCCTTTCGAAACCTGAATATTGTTATTGATAGTAGAAAACACTCAAATGCTAATTACTTGTTGCTTCTGAAGGGCCGGTTCTGGATGTTTAACTGAACCGATTGCTTTCATTTCAAACTATGTAGTTATATGCGGAAAAAGTTTAAAGTTTATACATATAATAAGATTGCACTCATGTTGAACTCAATGACTCTGGATCTTGATTCGCCTCAAGAGGCGAGTCGATCACGTCTGCAGATTCATGTATCAGTAACAATAATATTGTGAGAGATAAGAAGCTTGACACTAGAAGTACTACTACACATATCTCACCAAAAACGGCTTAGCTCATGATATATTGAGACTCTTCTTTGGCTTTATGAAACAATAAACTGTCTCTAATGATTCTGTTTATAACTACTTTTAGTATGATATTAAAATTTGGTTCAGTTGGCTTCTATACAACTTTCAGTAAATCAGGACAAACAAGTGAAAATATCAGACATTTTAGCATATCCATGAATGTTTGTGTACTAGTGGAGATACTCATATTTACCTAATGGAAGTACAAAATTAAGAACCTTGGGTTCAAATTTGAAGTAACTAAACATTTAAAATCCACATATAATGTTCCAAGTTAAACAAATGAATTGCAGTATATAGTTTACCTCAAAATCTGTATATATATATAATTCAGGGGAATTAACCAGATACGTGGCATTCTATTTGAGTAGGAATATCACTTATCTTTTCCCACAACCTTTTGGCATTTTGCACTGATTTACATCATAAAGAAACAAAACCTTCGCATACAAACTGATTAAAATAAACGGCTCTTCTAATCTATTTGTTCCTTATTCCAAGAAGCGCAAAGTTTTTATCGGTGCTAAAACCAAAACCACGATTCCACAACCATCACTTTTTTATTGAGGATCCCTTATTCCTTCAAACAAAACCACAGTACAATCCATGTTATGGCTTTCATCCTATTCCTACTCTCTGGTGAGAGTACTCTAATCTCCTTTGCCAAGTATTGCACAATCACTTTTCTGCCAGAGATAGAGTGTGTCAGGTTTACAAGCCCTACCATGAAAGTGCTATTCTTCCTTTTAACCAGCAAGTTCATATGTATGTTAGTTTTCTGCCTTCTTTCTATGGAGTTAAATTTTTCCTTCTTTCTGTTGGGTTTGTTTTTAATATATGCAAAAATAGGCTCCAAAATCTAAAGTTGTTTCTCAATTATGCTACAAAATTATTTAGTGCAAGATATGAATAGATTTATGTAACGACCCGACCGGTCGTTTTGAGTATTACAACCCTGTTTCCCCATTTACTGCTCAAATTATATTTTACAGTTGTTGTGTAAATTACCGGGGTAAATGGTTCGGGTCCGCTGAGGTTTTGGAATGAATTGGAACACTTAGTTCCAAGGTTTAAAGCTTAAGTTAAAATAGTGACCGGATGTCGACTTAAGTGTAAACGACCCCGTAATGGACTTTTGGTTATTCAAATAGCTCTGTATGGTGATTTTGGACTTAGAAGCGTGTCCGAAAAATTATTTGAAGGTCTGTAGTGGAATTAAGTTTGAAATGGCGAAAGTTGTATTTTTTGGAAGTTTGACCCGGGGGTTGACTTTTTGATATCGGGATAAAAATCCGATTCTGAAAATTGAAATAGGTCCGTAATGTGAAATGTGACTTGTGTGCAATTTTGAGATCAATCGGACGTGATTTGATGTGTTTCCGCACAAGATATAGAATTTGAAGTTTCAAAGTTTAATGATTTCGAATTTAGGTGTGATTCATCGTTTCGATATTGTTATGTATGTTTAGAGGCCTCGAGTAGATCCGTATTATGTTAGGAGATTTGTTGATATGTTCGAACGGGGTCCCGAAGGGCTCGGGTGAGTTTAAGACGAGGTACAAATCATTTTCATTCATGTTGCATTTGGTGAAGGTTTCTTGTTCTGGTATGGCCTAACTTGCGGCTGATCTGCGTAGGTGCGACGCTTTTGGTGCAGAAGCGAAAAGAGGCAAGGTGAGGAAGAACACAAAGCACATTTTGTAGCGCAGGTGCGAAACTCATCGCAAAAGCGGAATTTGGTATCCGCCTGTGCGGGTGTTGCTGGGCAATGTTATCTCGCAGATGGGAGTTTTTTTTCCGCAGAAGCGAGGGACGCAGGTGCGACTTCTTGTCCGCATCTGCGAAAGTGCAGGGCAGAATCCTTTTAAGTTCGAGGGTTCGATATTTTCACCAAGTTTCGGATTTTGGAGCTTGGTTTGGACGATTTTGGAGAGGAATATTTCCACACAACTTGGGGTAAGTGTTCTTGAATCTCATGTGATTTTATTACATGAATTTATCTTCATTTTTTGTGTAAGATTATCGAATCTTCAAGAGAAATAGAAGGAAATTTCTATAATGTCACAAAATAAATTTTTTGAGTTTGAATACCGATTCAGAGTCGGATTTGAGTAAAATAGTATGGTTGAACTTGTAATTGGATGTATTGTCATATTTTATGAGTTTCGTCAGATTCCAAGACGTGGGCCCCATGAGTGATTTTTGGGGCATAATTTCGAATTTTGTGGAAAATATTAGTATTTTGATATGGAATTAATTTATATAAATTGTGTGGATTGAATCAAATTAATTGTGACTAGATTCGAGCTGTTCGGAAGTTGTTACGTGCAGAATGGAATTTCTGGAGCATTGTTTAGCTTGCTCGATATTGGATTCGACTTGTTCGAGGTAAGTAACTCTTTCAATCTTGGAGTTGAGGGTATGAAACCTGAATATACGTATTATGTAAATTGTTTGAAGGTAACGTACATGCTAGGTGACAGGCGTGTGGGCGTGCACCATAGAAATTGTGTCGTAATTGTTTTCCGTGTAATTTTGAGTCAAATAATCTTGGCATTTTCTATGCGATTTTGTATGTTGAAGAAATTTAGCTGAGAATCATATTAAAAATCATGTTGAAGTTGTGGGGCAGTATTATTGGGATCCACAAAGGTTATATTGCTGTAAATTATCTGTTTAAATTGAAATTTATACTCAGTCATATTAATTTTATTTCATATCATATCTCAGTATCTATTGCTATTTATTGATTCATCATATCATCATTTTGGGCTAGTTTTATGACATTATGATCCTGAGAGACCGGAGAGATTGATGACTGAGTGAGGCCGATGGCGTGATTGTGAGGATAATTATGGGATCAGGCTGCACGCTGCAGCAGGCCAAATTGGCTTATTATAGCACGTGAGTTGTCCGTGCGAATACAAATATTGATATTATAGCACATGAGTTGTCCGTGAAGATTATAGCGCCTGGGCTGAAGGAGCCCCTCCGCAGTCTGTACACCCCCAGTGAGCATGGTTGATATTATTGAGGGATGGATCTTCCCTGGACATGGATCTTGTCTGAAGCATTTAATGGATCTTCTCCATGCGGCCGGACTAGCCTTCCTCGGTACTAAGTGACTGATGGTCAGTGATGTATATATTCCGGGATGGATCTTCCCTGGGCCGTATGGGCCATATACAGTACCGAGTGGTTGAACATGATGAGTGAAAAGTGTGATACAATGAGATTGAGTACTCTGAGAGTGTGAGTACATAATTCATCTATGAGATACATTGCATTGACATGTACACATGACATACATGCATAGAGATATATTTTTCTCATGTTGTACGGTATCACATCATTCATGATTTCTCACAGATGTTGACAAATGGGCATAGTGATGCATTTGTTTTACACTAGTTATCTCGAAAGAAAATGCGACATCTTAATTATCATTGAAAGAAATTTTGGGAAAATTACTGTTTTCAAACATACTCATATTTTTGGAAACTTCGGCAAACGATTTGGGTTTTTACTGATATACTTGAAAGGCAAAACTATTTTCAGAAATCATGATTTTGCTGAGCATTTTTATCTTTGAGTTACTTCTTGTATTATTTGCTTTACGATGTTATAGACTGTTGTGGACTATTGATTTTGGACCCGACCTTGGTACAAGCTGGTTACTACTTTGAACCTAAGGTTAGGTTTGTTACGTATTGAGTACATGATGTCGGTTGTACTCATACTACACTTCTGCACCTTGCGTGCATATGTTTGTTGTTGATGTTGTTGTGTTCGTTGGGAGCTAGATCTGAAGATGTACCTGCGCTCCGGTTGTAGTTGTCTCTTGTTCATGGTAGCCTTAGACTCATAAAACTCTATTTATGTACTCTTGTAACAGATGATGTATTTACTTCATACCAGCATTGTATATTCTATTCTTAGAAGCTCATGATTTGTACTACCAGTTCTTGGGGAATGTATAAGATTAAGATTTTTCTGTAATTAGATTGCTTTAATAATTGTTATTAGAATTGGTCAGTGGTTAATTGGCTTACCTAGCGGGTTGGGTTAGGTGCCATCACGACTAGACGGAATTTGAGTCGTGATAATTTATGATGAGCCATGGAACAAGGTTATTTCTAACCAAGAAAATCCTTCTATAAAAAGAGGTTTTCAGCAAACCAAGAGTACAAAGGATGGGGTGTCTGAGAAGGTTATGTATGATCTCAAACCAGATGTTGATCTGACTTACAAGGCAATGGTGCCAGTTATTTGTATTAGACGATTGTTATTTCCTATTTGATTCAATTGGAATCAAAGTTCAGTTTTCACAATTCATCCTTGAGGACAAGGATATTTTGAGAAAGGGGTATTTGTTACGAGCCAAATTAATCGACCATGTGAGTTGTGCGTGAGTAGATGACTACTTTGTAACTATCATGTTCTCTGTATAAACAGAGGAATAGGACTTGTAATTGTATTGTGATTTGATATTGAAATTGATTTCTTTCCCCGCTCTCTCTGTTACGTTCTTGTTATCGACTCCATCGGCGACGCCGGCCAGTGCACCGAAAAATCTGTTCAGGGACCATTCTTGCTCTTGGTTCCTTAGGATTTCCTATCTTCTTCATTGAAGTTGTAACATAATTCTAGTAAAATATTGACTACACAACGAAATATGGAATACACATGTTTAGGCAGTTTCATTTTAGCACATAAAACATTTTTCTCTACTGTGGAACAAGTAACAAATCAGTTTCCTTATTGTCACGACCCAAACTAACCCCTGTCGTGATGGCGCCTATCTTGGAACTAGGCAAGCCGACTCATTTCCAAAACAAATCGATATTTTCATTTCAAAGATAATTTCAATGTTATTTAACATAAAAACCTTCGTAAAAGAGTTCAAATCAAAATAAAAGTGCAGAAGGAGAAGCCCAACATCAGGGTGTCACTATTCATGAGCATCTACTACAATCTGTCTAACAATATCAAGGCTAACTCAACCTGAAAAATAGCTAAATACAACTAGAGGAAGATAAGAGGGAGAAGAGCAGGGGCTGCGATCACCAACAACTACCTTGCTATCTCCGAGAAAATCTGTAACCAGAAAAAAATCAACAACCGCTACCGTGTCCAGCTACACTGGATCTGCACACAAGGTGCAGGGAGTAACGTAAGTACCCCAACTCAGTAAGTAACAACAATAAATAAAGACTGAGCAGTAATGACGAGCAACAAAACATATAACGTTCATATCATGAAATCTCAGTAAAATACCACATGCCTTTAAAATCAGGATTTAAATCAAAACATCTTGTTTAAATCCAGTTCCAGTAAAAGTCATTTAAAGATATTTTTCAACAGTTTTCAAACAGAGAAAAAATGCAAAGGTGAGCAAAAATGATGAAATCATAAACAGCCCCTCGGGCAAAACATCACTTATATACAACTCCTCGGGAAAACCTCACAGTCACTCGTGCCACCCGGGCATACCTCACAATAACGCTTGCCACTCGGGCATACCTCACAATCACTCATGTCTCCCAATCACTCAACACTCGGCACTCGCATTCAGTAGGTACCTGCGCTCACTGGATGTGTGTACAGATTCCGGAGGGGCTCCTTTAGCCCAAGCGCTATAATCTATATGGACAACTCACGTGATGCACAAATAACTCACATGCTATAATAATAAAGTATGCTGTAGGCGGGAAGCCTCGATCCACACTCATCCTTACAAATCAGGCCCTCGGCCTCACTCAGTCATAAACCTTTCAAGCCACTCGGGCATTTTAGTAAAACAGGGCATTCGGCCCAAAATATTTATATGCATCAAAATAGAGTCATAAAACTGAGTTATGCGGTAAACAAGTATAAACATGACTGAGTATAGATTTTCAATCGAAAACAATGAGAGGATAGTAAGAAAAACCCATAAGGGTCCAAACAGCACTGGCGCAAGGCCCAAACATGGCATTCAGCCTAATTTACAGAAAAATCTTTCTAAAACATATAAGCATCATATAGTTTCAACAAAGTATGCAACTTTACAGCTGCTACGGGATGGACCAAGTCACAATCCCCAACAGTGCACGCCCACACGTCCGTCACTTAGCATGTGCGTCACTTCAAAATAGTAGAATGATACGAAATTCGGGATTTCATACCCTCAAGACTAGATTTACAATCGTTACTTACCT